TTCTTAGGACTTAAAAACATATTTAATTTCTGCTTTTAATTGTGTGGGAGGTGTGTGTGTGTGTGTATGCTTACCTCTGAGAGTGCAAGAGCATGTGGAAGGCAAAAGTGGGTGTTACAATTCCTGGAGCTCGAGTAACAGGTGGTTGTAAGACAGCTAACCTGGTTATTAGGAATCAAACTCAGGTCTATTGCAAGAGGATGGCATGTTCTTACCCACTGAACCATTTCTCCAGCCCATCTTATAGTCTTTTAAGTGAGGAAGCCAATGAAATGTCGTTAAGATACACAAAGAAGTTGAATGGTAAAACTAAAAGTACAGTGCTTAGAAAGTTACTAAGTGAACATATGGTTTTACTTGTCCTACTACAATAACATAGGCATAGGGAAATGGCTATGTGAGTTAATGAATGCTATGAAGCATAATGACCAGAGTTCAGATCCCTAGAGCCCACATGAAAATCAGAGGTGATGATACATGCCTATGACTACAATGCTCAAGGGTCAAAGACAGACATTTCACTGACTAGCCCATGTACATAAAATGGTAAGATCTAGGTACATAGAGAAACCCTGTCTTTTTATTATTATTTTCATTTTAAACAGTTTGTTTTACATGTCAATCCCAGTTCCCTCTCCCTCCCCTCCTCCTGCACCCCCACCATCCCGCACAGCCTCCCACCCTATAGCCACTTCCTTCCACATAGGGGATATCCAGAGTCTGTCATTTCGCTCAGGGCAGGGTCCAGGCACTCCCCTAAGAGTCCAGGCTGAAAGAGCATCCCTCTGTGTTATGTACACACAAAGTCCATTTGTATGCCAGGGATAAACACTGATCTACTGCCCAGGGCCCCATAGGTTGCCCAGGCCTCCTCACTGACTCTCACATTCAGTGGGTCTGGATCAGTCCCATGCTGGCCTCCCAGCTGTCGGTGTGGGGTCCAAGAGCTCCCCCTTGTTCAGATCAGCTGTCTCTGCTGGTTTTGCCAGCCCATTCTTTGCTCATTGCTTCTCTCTCTCTGTCACTGGGTTCCATGGGTTCAGTTCAGTGTTTAACTGTGGGTGTTTGCCTCTGCTTCCATCAGTCACTGGATGAAGGTTCTAGGATGGCTATAGACATCACATTCATTATCAGGAATGGGCATTTAAGGTGGTCTCTCCACTATTGCTTACCGTGCCAGTTGGTGTCATCCCTTTAGATCACTAGAGGTCTCATTGGTACCAGATCTGTCTTCTAACCTATGACTCCCTCTTCCCCCTATTCTACCTCCCACTCAACCTTCCTGTTCCCCCATGACCTACTCTCTCTTCTTCTTCTCCCTCTCTCTTCTTCCCAGCTCCTTTCCTCACCCCTCACCGTGTCCCCAATCTGTTCAGAAGATCTTGCCTCATTCCTCTTCTCTGGGGTACCATGCATATCTCTCTTAGGTTCTTTCCTGATTTCCAGACAGAGAGTCTGGGAAACAGAGAAATCCTGTCTTAAAAAAAATAAATGATTTCCATTTCCTGGATGGCTAAGGATGTTGAGCACTTTCTCAAGTGCCTCTCAGCCATTTTAGACTCCTCTATTGAAAACTCTCTATTTAGTTCTGCAGCCCACTTTTTAATTGGGTCCTTTGATGTTTTGGAGACTTGCTTCTTGAGTTCTTTGTAAATTTTGGAGATCAACCATCTCACTCCTGTCAGAATGGCTAAAATCCAAAACACTAATGACAATTTATGCTGGAGAGGATGTGGTGAAAGGGGGACACTCCTCCATTGCTGGTGGGAGTGCCAACTGGTTCAGCCACTTTGGAAATCAGTATGGAGATTCCTCAGAAAAATGGGAATAAACCTACCACAAGACCCAGCAACTCCACTCTTAGGCATATATCCAAAAGATGCCCATTCATACAACAAAGATGTCTGTTCCACTATGTTCATAGCAGCTTTATTTGTAATAGCCAGAACTTGGAAGCAACCTAGATGTCCCTCAACCGAAGAATGGATAGAGAAAATGTGGTACCTCTACACAATGGAGTACTATTCAGCAGAAAAAAGTAATGGAATCATGAGATTCGCAGGCAAATGGATGACACTAGAAGAAACCATCCTGAGTGAGGTAACCCAGTCACAAAAAGAGAAACATGGCATGTACTCTCTCATATATGGATTTTAGACATAGATCTGGGGAGTGCCAGCCTACAATCCTATGGCCAGAGAGTCTGGGAAACAGAAACTTTATTTAGTGGCTGATCGAAGAAGAGGCAGACTCCCTTGGTTAAGTACTGAGCTGAACTCAAGAAAGCCAGTAACAGAGAGGGAGGACTGATGATCAAAGGGATTAAGACTGGGCTGGTTTAACCCCCCAGAAACAGCTGACCAGACAAAGGTTAACTCTTGAATCCCAGGCATCAGCCTGGGAATCCAGCATGGGACTGATCAAGACCCCCTGAATCTGGGTGTCAGTGAGGAGGCCTAGGTAATCTATTGAGCCTTGGCCAGCAGTTCAGTACCCATCCCAAGTATACACACGGACTTTGGACTCCCATAGAACAATGTGAGGTGCACTCTCACCCTGAACTCTTGGGGAAGGGTCTAGGCCCTGCCCTATATGAAATGACAGACTATGGACACCCCCATGGAGGGCCTCACCCTCCCTGGGGGAATGAGGGGATAACGGGGGGGGGGTTGGGGGGAGGGCACGGGAGGAGGGGAGGGAAAGGGAGAGGGACCTGGAACTGGCTTGTGAAGCAACCTTGTTTCTTATCTAAATTTATACTGGAAAATAAAAAAAATAAATAAAATAAAATAATATAAAAAAATTTTCAAAAAAAAATGAAGGTTAATAGAGGAAGACACACAGTGTTGGTGCCTGCTATCCACATGCTCATGATCATGCAAACATGTCTATATACATAAATACACACATGAATACCAACAGAAAAAAAAAGAGTGTGTTTAATATAGGTGAGCTCTATGGAAGATGTTCTCAAACTTAAGGATTCCCTAAGGTATGTATTAAAGGCATCAAAATTAGTATTTCTGAGGGACAAATCCATTAATTTTGATTAGGTCAATCAAGAACAAGATCTGACCTATTACACAAATCAGGAAAGAGGTTGCTCAAGGATAAACCCAGTTGTAAAGAGCTATGGCTCACCATGCTTTCCTCTCTGTTTTGAAGAATAAATTATGTTGACAGTGTTTAATTCAGTATTTTTATGATTATGGATGAAATAAATATCAGTGTCATATTAAATTAAAAAACAGTATCAACTTATTTAATAATCAAGGTGGGTTATAATTGTTTATTTATTTCTGCTTCTAGGAAATTCACCGGTCTTGAAAGTTCATAGTACACAATTGCCTCAAGAGGACATAAAGTTTTAGGAATTTTCCTGTGACATGTTGGGTTCCTGTGCTCATGCACACATGCATCATGCACATACTGATGATAGTAAATCTGATGAGCTGCTTTTGAGCATCATGTCCTGATAATGCTAAACTGCAAATTATTGTTTGTATTTTGATCAGTGTAACGTGATCAGTTTTAGTTTGCGTGCAGCATGGCAGCTGTTAAATTATAGATGGGATCAATATGATTTGATTCAAAAAATTTTTAAATAGAGTAGCCATGTATACTTAGAAAGCTCCAGTGGTCTAAGATGCAGTGATTATATTTTCATAGGGTATTGTCACTCTCAGTTTGTTGAATGGGGTTAAGCTACATGTACCGAGAGATTTGTCGTGGAAATTCAAAGAGGCACTGAACTTTAATTGCTTAGCATAGCACCTGACAGAGACATCTTAAATTGATACATTTCTTGCAGTTTTACAGACAGGAGAGTAAACATTATATATGATCTTTAGATCTTTATGTTAGCATTTGTACTTCTTTATATTAGAAAATAATTTATACTTACTTAACCTCTCATGACTATCAAATTACTTTAGTCTATAAAATCCCATTGACTTTCATGTTTATATTACTACATAGACAAACCAGATGTTATGTCACTTTGGTTATTAAAAGTCACATGATTAAAGCTTATATTACGAATTGCAAATGGTAATATTAGGATGGTAACTGGAGCTATCTAGTGTCTGCTTTAAAATATCATTGAGTTATCCAGAAAATATCTATTTAATATGTCCTGTACTGAAAGCTCTATGACAGAAACAAGAGTAATGCATAGCCCTGTCCCAGAGAGCTAAAACTGGCACTTGACTGTGAGTTAATGTATGAGATTTGAGTCTCAGCTTAGCAATGATGTCAGCTATGGTGATGATGCTTGTTTACCCTTGCACCATCATTTAAATTTGTGCTGATGTTTTGAATTATCAAAGGTAAACTCTATGAAGTGGTCAGTGTTTTCACAAGATTACGCTATCAGTACATTAGTTTACTTAGAGAGCAAGTGGAAAGCTGTTCATTCCATGCCACTCGTTGACAGAGAAACCAAGAAACAAAGCCCAGAAATGTGGAATCCAGATCTGTGTCTGTTACTGCTCTTCTCATGGACTTTCATGACAAAACTAAAGCCAGAAGTGGTATCATTTTGTCCACATGTGAGCCTTCATTCCTGTCTCTATGACAGACTGCCATAGAAAATGTGGGGTTAAGGTCACCCATTTTAAGGACACTAGCTCCTGCCTTTGTATACATGTGTATGAACAAACCAGAGTGGTATCATGTTTGTTTGTCCAAGAAGTGGAGAGAATCACTAAACAGCTTTTACTCAGAGCAACCAGTCTATGAAAAGCAATATATTGTGCCTCAATTGGGATTGGGGTTTTTCTGCATGACATCCTTTTAATTTCACCAGGACTGGACAAACTTGAAAACTTCACTGGGCAGAATGAGACACTGGCTAGGAGAGGATATAGGAGCTGAGCTCAAGATGGACTTGTGGCCATGGTTATGCGCAGTGATTTGTTCAGTCAACAGCCCCAGAACTTCCGTGGTGGCTCCTCTGTGCTTATGTATTCACCATCTCTATCCCTCTTTTCTCTCTTCAGGAGGCTGTGCTTAAAGCTGATTGCTGAAATTCTGCAAATGAAATCCAAAGTAAAAAAACAACAAAAACAATTTTAATTTGGACTCCTACCTGTGGAAGTGCACATCTAAAGGGCAAGCATTTTCAAAAGAACTGAGATCTATCAGTGGCATAATTTATCTTTGTCAGCTGTCAGTGGACATGGCCTTTATTTGAAAGCAATTTAATTAATGATATCAATGCCCTTGAACTTCTTCACTGATGAAATAAAGGAATCCATATATCCTAATGTCTTATACAGATTTTCCCCCATAGTTTAATATACTTCCCAAATGCCAGTCATTGATCATCCACTCATTGGAATTAAAAAAAATCTATGAGTTTTAGATTTTGATAGAAGGAAAACAAAGAAAAACATATTGGGTGTTAGCTGACAGTAAAACCATATCCAAATTTGTGTTCCAGAAAGTTTGTTTGTCAAATATGTAAAAGAAAAATTACAAGTTCCTTTGATGCCATTGAAAAGCCTAAGGCAGTTTCTATCCCATTTGTATTTCTGGATTTTTTTTCAGGCCCATCTGTTTATTTTCTATTGAGCAACCATTACAAAACAGAAAGCCAGCATGTGACAATATGAAAACAGGTGGGATTTGAAAATAATTTGAGAGGCATAATGATCAATTCTCAGACAAAACGACCTCAGGTTGACTAATGTCACAGGTTTTCATGAACTTATATCCCTTTAAGGTTAGTACTATTTATATGAGGTAGAATTTATGTGTAATCAGGAAGTTCAAGATCTTTAGACATCTTAGGAATTGAAAATTTTAAATATTTCTTATGATTCTTTTCAGTAATTTTTAAAGTGTTGGAGGTCTTGGCCTTACTAGATTTTCTAATATATTTCAGATTATAGTATAAAACCCAGAGGATACAGTTTTAACTCATTTCCTTAACTATGCACATATTGATTCTGATGGAATATGCCTGGAGGGATTAGACAGTTCAGAAATCTATTTTAAATATTAACTTAAGATCTGTAATATGCACTTAAAAAGAAATACATTTTTAAAATTGAAAACTTTTATGAAAAAGTTTGCCTTTCATTTGATGTTTTCCTTTTTGAAAAACTTGATTTATTTTTATTTGTTTGTGTGTGTGACTACATAACTTTATGTGCATGCTATGTGCAATAGAGCCTGCAGAGACCAGAAGATAGTGTTGGATCCCATGTAACTAGATTTACAGGAAGTTTGCGAACTGCCAGGATGGTATAGGATACTGAACCAGGGTCCTGTGCAAGAAAAGTAAAAATGCTCTCAACTGCTAATTCATCCCTCCAGTTCCTCACTTGATATTTTATGATAAAATTTTGATACAGACTAATAAATGCCCCTTGTACAACTTAAAGGAAAGCTCACAAATATAGGAAAGAAAATGAGATAACTTATATTACATATTTAATAGTAATTACCCTATACAAATATATGCTCTTTATACTAAAATATTATATTTTCAGATGAAACAATTTGTCCTGTTTGTCACTTATTTTAATCTTAGAAAATATTATCTTCAGATGTCTTTTAAATTGAAAGGATATAGGAAATGTACTGGGTTTATTTTACTGTCTTCAACATCTGACTTACATGAATCTATTTACTTTTGCTAGCATCCTTAATTTAGTAGAATAATATTAAGAACATATGTTGTAAAGACAAAGTGCTCACCATCAATACTTGCAACTAATACTTTCTGTCTGTTGTTTAATCAAGTTGTGTAATTGCTTTTAGGACAAGTTTCATACCTGAGAAGCATACATGAGGATGTTCACAAGAGAGAACTACCTGAAATAATATCAAAAGTTAATAGATTATTGGTATAATTCAGCACTGGCCACACAGGACAGACTGAACAAGATGCATATATGCTAGACACAAAAAACCAAGACCTTCATTTAATTTTCTCATGAGGTTCCTTGTTATCAATTGTCAGTTCATTATTCTTGGCAAAAAAACAATAGTTGTTGGTCCTTAGCAATTCCTACAATTGTACACTGAGCATTTGTACCAAGAAATAAAAGATAAGGAATAGGCAGGTCTGAACAAAGGAACTTGTTAATTTCTTGGAGCTGAATTAAAAAAAAAAACCTACAAATGTTCAAATCAGCTAGCATGCCTTTTCTAATTTTTTAAATGTTGAATGATATATAGATGGTATAATTTCTAATAATTCTTTCAGACTGGAGATATAGCTTGGTGGTAAAGAATGCCTGTTGCCCTTGTAAACAATCAGAGCTCAGTAATTAAGCATCCATATTCATGTCAAATAGCTCACACTGCCTGTAACTTCAGATCCAGAGGGTTTTACAACCTCTTCTGGCCTCTGAGAGTATCCACACACATGTATGTGCGAGTACACACAAATACAAACACACACACGCACACACACAAACACACACACAGACACTTTTTAAAATGTCCTTAAATGAAAGAAAATAAATAATGCCTGCACTTACTTGTGTTTGGGGAAAAGTCTCATCAGACAGCAAAAGACTCAACTCTTTCTGCAATGAATCCTTGACAAGAATCTGTGCGTATAGTGCTTTAAACCTTTGTTTGTTTTTAATTATCCATCAAACCTCATGATTACAATTTTCTTTTAAGGAGGAAAACAGTTAAGTAATTACCACTTTCATGCATTTTTTCTAAAAATCCTTTATTTAATATTTTTTCTGTTTTATTTATACCTTTGATTTGATCATCTCAGAGCCAATAAGAGGGCGATTACTTTAATCTGACTGGCAAATTAACTTAATTACTGACCAAGATTTGTTTCTGAATGGCTTTAGATATTTAGTTGTCAGTAAGCTATAGAACTGGGGGATTCCCCTTTTTGTGAATTTTAAATACATCTAATGAAATATTTTCTGGAATAAATAAGCTTCATGCAGTATGTCTGCACTTCTACATCAAAGTCACACCATGTCATCCTAACAGGTTCATCTCATTAATTACATGGTTTTGTGTGTTGTGACCAGTAGCAAGGTCTAGGAAGGCACCAGAAGGCAGTTTCTCCTATGTCTCTGGGGAATTTTAATTTGAGTTTCATTTATTTATGTGAGAATAGCTGATACCAATTAAGCAAAAAATGATTTCAAATGCTAAGAATACATGCTCTAATGCAAAAATAAATTAACATTTATATTCTATAAAAACTTTCACAAATGAGTGCATTCCACTCTAACTAATGGTGCTCAAATTAATATTTATGGGCCCTGGGATATCACTGTCCACTAAGTAGACCTCTATTTTAGAGCACACAGGAAAAATGTTACTAAAGAAAGTGTCTCCAGTTGTAGAATAAGTTAACATACTCTAGGTTGAAAAGAAATGGTATAGAGGGAGAAAATATTAGTTATACAAGAGTTTCACAAGATAGAAAACAGCTGCTAGATATTAATCTAGAGAAGCTCAGGAGGTGAGAAACCACTGGAGAGCAAAAACAGGGTGAACATTTCAACATTCAGTCTCTTAGCAGAGCCCAGGATGAAACTGATATGAAAGCTGGCATCTGCTCAGGTTAAAATTTTGATTAAATTTTTCCAAATTATAAAGTTTTACAGGCCTGAAAATCAGCTCTCAATAGCAGATTGCCAAGGATGTTTACCAGGTGGGGTGTTTTTGATGTTCTAATGCTCTTAACTGTATTGTAGATGAGGGACACTAAAAGAAGCCACTGTTTTAATGATGTGTTCTTTATACACACACACACACACACACACACACACACACACACACACACCATATGCCTTGAAAAGGAAAATGTCTATCATGTCAAAAGTTTTGCATGGTAAGCAGAGTTAGGAGCCCAGTGGATATGGAATTCCCTCTGGAAGGCAATGCTATTGGATTGAGTTGTCATACATAGATAGAACAGGTGTTCTGATTTGGGGAGGAATTTCACTAAGGATGAGCACAAGCCAGGATGGACCAGGAGGACAAATTTACAACATTTAAAAAATGCAAATGTTCTAAAACTCAGGGACAGTAGTTGTATATTCTAGGAGGAAGGTAACCCTGAGACCCAGTGCTCTGATCAAACATGGTTTTCAATAGACATGTATACAGTTCACTTGTCTGTACCTATATAACAGCAGATAGCTGTAGCAAATCAACAGACACAGAAGAGGGAGCTCCAGGATGACATGAGTACCATAGTGCTGTTAAAAGACCCCCAGCATTGTGGTTTACTTATTCACACTTTCACTCCTCAGTTTTTTTTTTAATTTTTTTTATTTTCCATTTTAAATTTAGATAAGAAACAAGGTTTCTTCACAAGTCAGTACGAGGTCCCTCTCCCTTTCCCTCCCCTCCTCCCGTGCCCTCCCCCCCATCCCCCCCGTTATCCCCTCATTCCCCTAGGGAGGGTGAGGCCCTCCATGGGGGTGTCCATAGTCTGTCATTTCATATAGGGCAGGGCCTAGACCCTTCCCCAAGAGTTCAGGGTGAGAGTGCACCTCACATTGTTCTATGGGAGTCCAGAGACCGTGTGTATACTTGGGATGGGTACTGATCTGCTGTCCAAGGCTCAATAGATTACCTAGGCCTCCTCACTGACACCCAGATTCAGGGGGTCTTGATCAGTCCCATGCTGGATTCCCAGGCTGATGCCTGTGATTCAAGAGTTAACCTTTGTCTGGTCAGCTGTTTCTGGGGGTTCAACCAGCCCAGTCTTAATCCCTTTGATCATCAGTCCTCCCTCTCTGATACTGGCTTTCTTGAGTTCAGCTCAGTACTTAACCAGCCAGTAAATGAAGTTTCTGTTTCCCAGACTCTCTGGCAATAGGATTGTAGTCTGGCACTCCCCAGATCTATGTCTAAAATCCATATATGAGAGAGTACATGCCATGTTTCTCTTTTTGTGACTGGGTTACCTCACTCAGGATGGTTTCTTCTAGTGTCATCCATTTGCCTGCGAATCTCATGATTCCATTATTTTTTTCTGCTGAATAGTACTCCATTGTGTAGATGTACCACATTTTCTCTATCCATTCTTCGGGTGAGGGACATCTAGGTTGCTTCCAAGTTCTGGCTATTACAAATAAAGCTGCTATGAACATAGTGGAACAGACCTCTTTGTTATATGAATGGGCATCTTTTGGATATATGCCTAAGAGTGGAGTTGCTGGGTCTTGTGGTAGGTTTATTCCCATTTTTCTGAGGAATCTCCATACTGCTTTCCAAAGTGGCTGAACCAGTTGGCACTCCCACCAGCAATGGAGGAGTGTCC